TTTCCTCCTAAGTTTAAGTACTCCTCATCTTACTTGCATTTCCCAGCCTAATTTGAGCGTCCCACTGGTGTAGCCCTGAAGCATTTCATCGAGGACTTTTTCCACTTCCTACACTGTTTCTTATCAACGTGGTCTACTTCGGAAACTCTATAATTGCTTTCCCATACGAGTTTTTCAACCTAAGGCTGCGTTCAGACGGCGGCGTAAAGGGCATAGAGGCGTAGTCATAAGGGTAAGGCTCCTATATACCAGGCTGAATCATCAGGCATTCGCGCTCCCAAGTGGGAGATTTAATGGCGGCTGTGTAGTTACGGTGCAACAATTTTTTTGTGTTTTTTTTTTTTTGTAAAATGGGCGGATGTACAGCTATTAATTGTTCAAATCATTCACGGAAAGGTCATACATTGGTAAAATTTCCTAAAAATGAAGAAAGAAGAAAAATATGGGTAAATAATTGCCGAAGAGACAATTGGAAACCTGGTCCAGGCGCTGAACTTTGCTTAGTAAGTATAATGTTAATTACGCCTTCATTTAGAGTTTATATCTTCTCTGATGTTTATAATGTGCAAGTAAAGTGAAATTCTTGTGTACAATAACCTGAGTATCTGCTAATTTCTGTAATAATAGCTATAATTAAATTAGTCTAGGGTTAATGTACCCGTCGCCAAACATCGCCAATGTAGATGTTTTGAATGTGGAAAAGAAATTTCTCTTCTAATATAAAGCGCGGATTTTGTTTTCCTGTGCTAATTGTGGAATTTATACTAATGTAACATGAAAATCATTAGCATATTGAAATTTATTAAAAAATAAATAATAATTTGGAAAGTCAAGATAAAATCTGAATGTTTGCTAAAGATATATGTAACATTATACTATAGTTGCAATATCGTTGGAATGATATATAATTTTTTTCTTTATTTTATAATCACTATTGTTAAAAAGTTAGATGAGTTGTTTATGCACGGTGCCCACTACTGTTTCTTGGTTAAAATAACTTCCAGAATTTTGACATTGACATCTGAAGTCAATAGAATAAATTGAATAGTGTGAGACAAAATATATATAATCTGACTTCAATAATTGCAAGGATTGTGCAAGTTTATTTATAATCACAGTATTATACAATTTGGCAATGGAGTAAAGATTTAGAAATGAATGCAGAACATTCAAATTAGTATTTTCTTGTTTCTAATATATAGAAATATAGTCTATTTTCCAGTATAAAAGTTTTACTTAAAAGTATGGGAAAGCAGATTTGTTTCATGCATGATCTTTATAATACTGGTATGAAATGAATGAATTTTAATCTGTAAACAATTTTTTGTTAATATTGAAATGCGTTTCTTTGGGTACATTTTTAGGCACTTGTGGATCATGTCAGACAACATGCAATAGAAAAAAGATGTCCGTGTGCATAAATTTTCCCATTGTGTTACTTCATTTTATCTAAATTTCAAGGATAATTCTTTTCATTTTTATATGGCATGTTATCAGTATAAAGGCTAGTGAAAATAAATTGGTATGTGTATCTGTTTTTGAAGTGTAATGCTTAAATAAAAAGATGGTGTGTGTTTCTTCATTTAAACAAAATTTCAAGGATAGTATTTTTCAGTGTTTGTTATTTCTCAATGTAAAGGGTAACAAGGGGGAAAAAAACTGGTATGGTATATCTGTTTTTTAAGCATGATAATTTTATTTATTTCTTTAGTGATGCATATATATAGAGAGAAGGTGTTTGGTCCAACTGAAGTTATAATAAATCTAATTTTACTAGATCTCTCCCTCCCCTCAGGTGTAGAAAATTTTCAAGTGCAGAAAGTTTATTTGCAGAATTAATTCATTTCTGATAAACTTATTATCATTAATTTTTTATATAACATGTTATTAAGTTACACATTTGACTACTGTGTAATAAAATTGTATTTAGGGCAAAAAATTAACTATAATTTTGCATCTGGTGACTAATATCATATGCTTCTAAGAATATTACTTTAACTTTTTCCATAATTTTTGTATTTCAGGAACATGAAACTGTTATTTTGATATACTTAAATAATAAAAGTGTGTATCTGAATCAATTAATGGATACAAATATTTTACAGTTATTTTTAGAAGATATTTGCCATATCGCTTCTAATAATTCATAAAGTATGTTAAAATATAGGTAAATAATTTGGTGCAGAATTCAAATTTAGGGTTTAAAATATAGTGAATCATAAGACTAAATGATTTTTATTGTCATGATTTGCCTGGGCTTAAGAATGTACTTTTCGCCCGGTGGAAATTGTCATCAAACTGTCCTGAACAGGCTTTTTGTTGATAATAACTTCCAGGCTTATCAGTACCTCCTTTTGAGTGGAGGGTATGCAAATATAGTACCCAATTTAAATTACATTGTGATTGTAATAATATTGTGGTATTAAATAAGTGATTATAATTACAATTTAGGTAATTGCATTGTAATTATATTACATTGTATCTGTGAACTCTTAATTTCATTACTTTATGCAATTATGTTGTAAGTGCATAATCTAATTGCAATAATATAATCTATTCGCAATTACAAAATAATTATAAATGCAGTTACATCTTAAATAGAGGCCATTTTAATACTTTTAAATTTTCGCAAGATAACTTCCCATTAAGGTTCATTTGGAGGAAACTATGCAAATACTAAAAAAGAAGTTATGCTAAATTTACATATTTTGTACAGTACTTTCTTGTTATAATGCTGTTCAATATATCTTCAATACTTTTGTAAATTTAACGACATTCTTTGCAATCACTGTGGTGCTTTAAAAAGAAGTTTCTTAGTTATGCTTTCTAATAAGAATGGGTTTAAAATTAAGTATTATGTATAATAACTAGCAGTTAAAAAAACTTGACTGCATGAAAATGCTGTTGCTGTGTAAAATAAAAAATAAGCTTTCTTTTATGCTTTGAAATGAATTACATGTGGTTAAGTCGTCCTTTTACAATTTAAGAATGTGGTTAACACACATTCTTAAATTGGACAGGTTTTATCTAAATTATTAGTATAAAATATATAAACTATGAATTATTTTGTAACATAACTCAAATTACAAAATTCATTCTATATACGTTCAAAGTTATTATCTTTTATGGAATAACTGTTTTTTAATTTAGGTAAAAATTGGATTTTTAGAAGTATTACAAATACAATGCAACACAAAGGTGATCTGATTGAAGAGGAAGGACTTTTTATTACGGTTTCTAGTTCGTATTTATATTACATTTGATGAAAAGCATCCAAAACACAGAATGCTGTACTTTCTTCTTCCATATATGTTATGAAATATTTCACACATTTAAAAGAAAGTGTTTCTTCAGAATCTTGCACAATTATTTCCATATACCTCAGACTTAAATGACAACATATTCTTAAGTTATTTTTTTAGTATGAATTTACAGTGTTTTTATGGAAATTTTTGTTAAAATGTCATTAAGATAAATTTATTTGCACACTCTACGCTTTAACTATTTCCCCATTTGACACTATTGAAAGTTTTTATTCATATCTTATTTATTTTAGTCTGCTAACGAAACTGAAACATCTAAAGAATAAGTTATTTTGAATATGTTTACAAAATATACGCGAAATTTTTATTTAAGTGAAAACGTATATACTATTCGAGAATTAATAAATTATCCGAAAAGTTTATATGCGCTGAATGCCGCGCGTCTATAAAATAAATCTTTAAAAAAACAGCAGATATTCAGACAGCGTGTGCGATAAACGCGCCAAAATTGGCAGCGCGTTCACTCCCTCGCCAAGAGAGAAAAGTTGGTGATTCAGCCTGGTTTAGAGGAGCCTTACATAAGGGCATAAAATATGGGAATTCCGTTCATACTTGCGAGAACGGTGTGTAAGCCGTGGCCAATGAGAAAAGCTAAATCTGCGCATGCGTGGATGTGTCTACCACTTTCCCGCGCTGTTCTCCTGCTCGATTGATTTACCGCATTCGCTCTGCTTGTTTTGTGACAGCGAAAGATTCTGTAGAACCCCGCTTCGTTTTAGCTTCGCTCTGATTGGTCGACGCTTATCCCAAACTCGGCGTAAAGTTGAAAACTTTGAATCCTATGCCACGAGCCCTATACCAGATTTTGTGACGTTGCACAGACTGGTTGCCATGGCAACGGAGCTCGGCTTTAATCACTTACGCCCTTTACGCCCTCCTCTGAACGAAGCTTAATGTTCTCCCTATTCTATGCTCGGACAGATCGAAAATCGTCAACACGGTTAGGCCGGGATAGCGCTCCCGTGCGGGTGCCTGATCTTTGCGAATTGCGTTCGCCCACAGCCATGGTTCGCCTGAGTCGATGTAAAAGTGTCAGCTAACCTTCGAAGTATTTTCCCGCCACTTGTTTGTGAGGAAGGATGACTTTTCCTAATCTTATTTCTAAATGGAAAATAGTAGACTTTCCGGTCATTCTTTGTTAATCACATGAATTTTATGGGAAGCTGGAAAGCAGTATTTTAAAAACTCAAGTCTTATCTATTTAAATTATTTAGTACTTTTTTTTAAAGTATAGGTAGTAGTGAAGCGGGAGAGTAGAACACACCCCTTGGCCAAAGAAAGTCTATATTCTTTGCCTTGGCTACGCGCTTACTTCCTAGTACCATGGCTACACCCACAGAGTATAAAGCTATCATTATACTCCAAGGTCCGTAGAAAGGACTTTGATTATATTCCGTGGCTACACCAAAGAAGCTGGAAGTCTTGTTTTGCATCCGCTAATCTTTCTGCACGAATGGGCGAAAACTCAAGCTTAGGTGCGAAGGAATAAAAAACTCTACATTGCAATAATTTACAAACTTTGCATACCGTCATATTAATTATTTGAAGTAAAATAAAACTTTTTGATTTCGAAAAAAATTTTGTTATTAACAAACACGGTCAGCAACAAATTGTTTTTGCTAAGTATTGAATTTTCATTCCTACAGTTCAAGCAGGAAAAATGATTCTCATCTCTATTCACCATCTGAAGTTAATTAAAATATATATACAGGTGTTGTCCCATACGGTTACCCCTTGAGGTAAACAGAGAATACGAATTTTTTCTGCGTTAAGAACTGTTGCAGATTATCTTTTGAACTTCTAAAATATAAACAGTAAAACTCTAAGCAAAATGTGTGGAGGCTTTACTTGCTCGAAAAATGCTCTAACAGCATTAAATCTCCTCTATGTAGTAAGTATGCTGAAAAAATATTTAAATTTCGTAACATTTTTAGTTTTTACAAAATTATGTTACATATTAGGCAAAGTTTAAATAATTCATTCTCAGTAACTTGTATGTTATGCTTCATTTCCGTTTAGCGAAAGGGATTTTGGAAGTATCACTTTGTTTTTGAAATGTGTAAATGAGATACTGGAAACTATTTTACTTGAATTCTGTACGTGGTACTAATTTGTTCAGATCTTTATTATCAGTTTTTCTCAATCATATACCCAAATGGCTCTAGTGTAGAATTGGGTGCCCCTTCGATTAGCGACAATTTTTTGTAAAATTTTGGCGATGAAATCTCATTTCTGGTTACTATGATAGCTTAACTTTGATTTAGCCTCCTGATTTTTTAAAAATAAAAATAGATTGATGTGTACATCGACAAATTTAAAGCAGTGCGCAATGCCTAGTTTGTGCAATTCTAGGATGTTTTTTTTAAGTGAAAACAGATCGATGTGTACATGGACATAGAGTTTATGCAATTCTTTGACTTTTTATTTTGGTTTTGTGTAACGGCCATCTTGAAATTATGTCTTCCTGGCGCCGATCTTGGCGTCAAAAAAGAATCGCCAAAAAACAAGGGGCACTCAATTGTAAACTTTTACCAAATTAAGATTCTTATTTTATTTCACATTTGCATTCTTCAGCTTTGCTACTTTTTAACATTAACAAGCTATTATTTAAGTACTAAAATATAATACAGTTATATCTCTGAAGTTATGTGATAGGTGCAACTAATGAAAGTTCTGACCTCAGATTCCCAGTAGTCAGGATGTTATTTAATTATTACTGTTGTGTTATTGGGATCAGTTTCAGAAATGTACATATGTATGCATGTGTATATGTATATATATATGCATGTATGCACTTACACACACATCCATTCATCCATACATGCATATATATATAATTCTGAATCTTGTCCTGATAACAGAAGAATATCTATTTATCTTGCATACAAAACAATATCCATTCATCCATACATGCATATATATATAATTCTGAATCTTGTCCTGATAACAGAAGAATACCTATTTATCTTGCATACAAAACAATATCCATTCATCCATACATGCATATATATATAATTCTGAATCGTGTCCTGATAACAGAAGAATACCTATTTATCTTGCATACAAAACAATGCATATGAATTTAAGTTAAAAAGAACCAGTGGCTAAAAATGCACTTGTTTAAAATATTATACATTTCATAAGAATTTATCAAATATTCTCATTCACATAAAGCTAATTTAAATTTACATTATGAAAATTTAATTGTATACGAGTAAAAGATTAATTATTGCTGTGAACTAATTTTCAGAATGTATAATTCCATTCACTTTTTTGAACCAAAAAAAGAAAGTAACAGCACTGTGCATAAAAATGTAGAGCAACTGCATTGTTAACACAATTAATAATTCAAGTGCTGTTTTGAAGAAAAGTATGGGGTTTTTAGAGCAATTAGCATAAATTATTAGACTTTGATGCTACTTATTTTATTAAAGCTAATTCTTATGTATAGACACAGGTTTTGTTCACCAGCATTTTATGAATTATTCATAATTTCAAATATAAATTAACTACAGGTATAAATGTGTAAAATAAAATAAGCAGCCTTATTAAAGCAGACAGTGCCTTGCAATACTTAAAAGTTACATGTTACAAAATTGGCAATTCAATCAGCTTATTTTGTTATGGTGGCCACTTTAATATACAAGTGTCACCTGTATATATTCTAATATATTTTAGGAGCATTGAGCTTAAATAAAAAGTTGTATTTTACCTTTCTGGTACTTCTTCCCTACATAAATTTAGCATCTGAGGTATCTATTTTATTTTACAAAAGGTAGAAATAAATATAATAGAGCTTTATTTTTTCAATTGCAATTAACTCCCGATAACGATTTACGAAAATATGAACTAGTTATGATTTGCGATTTTTTTTTTTGGGGGGGGGGTCATGCAACTGCCTTATTTTACAAAAGGTAGAAATAAATAGACTAGGAAACGTAGAATAAATAGAATAGAGCTTTATTTTTTTCAATCGAAATAAACTCCCGATAACGATTTGCGAAAACATGAACTGATTTGCGATTTTCCAACTATCATTTTGTCTTACCGTTAACGTTCCATAAATAGAATAGAGCTTTATTTTTAGCATTATCGGATGTTAATAACGATTTGCGAAAATATGAACTAATTATGATTAACACCCGATAACGATTTGCGAAAATATGAACTACTAATTATGATTTGCGATTTTCCAACTTCTATTTTGTCTTGCCGTAACGTTTCCTAAATCTATGTAAACAGAAAAATTCCCTTTTCATCCTTCAGGAAAATTCCCCGAGTGGGTTGCAGGTTTGTAGCGCTTGTCAGGGTTACCATAATCTGGCGCACGCGCACTCTTCCGAGATGTCAACAAATCGCCAAGGGCCGGTTATCTGAAAACTGCCGATATGGTCAAAATCCCAACTTTCTCAGCATGTATACTGCATAAAGTATTTACTCAAGCTATTCCTTTCACTCATTATTTTCTTGTGTAGATCTCTTCTAGTGAGTAACTAAGAAATTTTTGTTTAATTTATGTAACCTAGAATTATTTATTATGTCTTACTTCTGAATTTTGTAAATGAAGTTTGTTAACCTTAAAAAGGTATTTCTTCATCTTTAGATCCTTTTGAAATCTATTGGTTCTGAGCATTTATCACTAATAAGAAATTACATACCCTAACAAAAAAACTGTTACTTCCTTGTTACAGCAACTGCTGTGATAAATCGCCATAATTTTGAAAACTTTTCCTGTTTGTAATGTGCAAATTTAAAATATTGTCAAAGGCTTGTGTGGTGGCTGCGTTAACAGAAGGGTACCAGAACCTTTTACTTGCACTTTAAGTGACAAGTAATAATGTACAATGTGGAATTAAGAGAAACAGATTGAAGATAATTTACTATGAAATATGTAGTAATATAAATACAGGTGAAAGTGCAGAATCGGCCACTGCTTGGCGCGTTTTTCAAAATCGCCAACTTGATGCGCTCTTGCGTCTTGTCTCCTGGATTTGCAACTCCTCCAGAAGACACTACGCAAGGCGTGTCATTTGCAATGGCGAACAGTTAAAATAAATACAAAATAAAAGTTGAAGCAAAATTTTGAAAACTGAAAATCCTTTAAAAACAGCTTAATAATTTAAAAAAAAAAACAAACATGGTTAAGAAAACGTAGTATGCTTCAAAAACTTCAAATCGTTACAAAACACTGAAGAAATAAAATACATTCACGTATAAAAAGTGCAGAATAACCCACTGCTTGACGTGTTTTTAAGAATTGCACTAACTCGGTATCCATGTACACATCGACCTATTTTCATCTGAAAAAAAATCCCAGAATTGCACAAAAATGGTATTGCGCACTGTCTTTATCCATGTACACATCGACCTATTTTTACTTAAAAAACATCCCAGAATTGCACAAAAATGGCATTGTGCATTGTCTCGACTTTATACATGTAACCATAGACCTATTTTTACTTGAAAAAATCCCAGAATTGCACAAAAATGGCATTGCACACTGTCTTGACTTTATCCATGTATACATCAACCTATTTTCACTTAAAAAGTCAAAGAAAATTGACAAAAATCCAATTCTTCTTACTCTTGTAAAAAGCGGCAAACAAATAAGTGGAAAATTTTTTAAACATGAATCCTTTCCAAAAAACCTAATAACTTTAAAAACTTAAATCGTTTCAAAAACATGGTAAGTTTAAAGAACATAAAATCCTTACAAAATCGTGAAAAATTAATACTTCCAAAAAATTTTAAAATATGAAAATCAAGTCCTTACAAAAATATACTTTTAAAAACTAAAAATCGTTACAAAACACTGAAAAATAATACTTTCACTTACCTGAAAAAGAATCGGTACTTACGTATTAACGCAACCAGGCCAAAATTTGCATAAATCGCCAAATTTGGCGACCCTACTTACGGCAACCCTACGTGTTATATGTAGTTTTGTAAAAAGAAAAAATAACACTGGGCGTGTACTACCACAGCAATGGGTTTTCGGTGGAATTTGCCGAGAAAAGAAAGAGACTTTTTTGGTTACTGTACCTAACAGAAGCGCCATTACCCTCATGGAAAAAATTTGCGAAAATATCAAGGAAGGAAGCATCATTTATTCGGATCGCTGGAAAGGATACAATACAAGTGAGTTTGAAAATGCTGTTTTTCTGCATGGAACTGTTAATCACAAATATAACTTTGTGGATCCCAACACGAGCGTTCACACACAACATGTAGAGCGCACTAGGGGCTCAGCCAAATGGCGCAACAAAAAACAGAGAGGAACAGCCCGTCATCATCTTGACTCATGCCTTATCGAATTTATATGGCGCCAGGCTCAAGCTGTTAATGGCAAAGAAGGTTTTCAATCAGTGCTAAAAGCAATAGCCAAAAGATTTCCGCCGAAAAAATAATTCTGCAACTTATTCAAATTCGAAACCGGAAGGGTTTAATTGCTATTTTTATATTTAAAAAACAAAATAATATAAAAAACTGTATTAAAAATTATCTGTAATTAATAAATGTACATTTTCTTTCTATTCATACTTTTTTACTCAAACTTACAAATCGCGCCAACCTGGTTGCGATAATACGTAAGTACCAAAGAATCCACTCCACTCAGCCGAAGAATGAAAAGTAATGAATTCTCGAATTATTGTTTAAAATAACTGCACCTCTACCATCTATTATCGTCTACATCAATCAGAAATTATAAATTTTAAAATGCATACTGAGCACGTGCGAAAATGCTCTGAATTTTGCACTCACAAGAAATTCTCAATTCAAAATACGTACTGGGCATGCGTGAAAATGCTCTGAAATTCGCCTTCCAGAACGGCAAAATTGACTTGGTACCATTTGCGCATTTATCAATCTCGTAAAAAGCGCCAAACACAATGCGCCAAATAAGTGGGCGATTCTGCACTTTAGCCATAAATACATATAATTATATATGCTTTTTATCTACCGAAAATAAAGAGAGCTTCTTCCTTTAAGTGCTGCAATGTGATGAATATACCATTGTTTTCTCTTCATGATTTTCAAGTAATAAAATTAATTAAATGGAAGAGGGAAATGCACGAGTTGGTATAGTATTTCTGTTATATGTTACATACGAGAGTAAAATTGTTTAAAATAATAAATTGTTAGCTACTGTAATAATGTTTTAATGGCAAAGTTGGTCTTTATGACAAAATCAAAAAATATGTTTTTTAACATATGTAACATAAGAGTATATATTTCCAGATCGTCTCTTTTATTTTGATTGGTGTAGCTGCTTATGGCATTGTTGCAAGTTTTGTTACCAGTCTGGCCATTGTTGGTGGAATTATGGCATGTGGAGCTTTTCTCTTTTTTCTATCTCTTATGGGCCTCATTGGTGCTATCAGGCATAGTCAAGTTTTGTTATTTTTTGTATCCTTTGATTTAAATAATTTTTAATTAACCAGAGATGTTCTTTTGTAAGACATTAATATTATTGATAGTATATTATGTTCATTTTGCTAGAAATAGTTTTGTAATTTAAGGATATTTTTAAACATATATCTAAAAACATTTTTCATTAAAAAAATGTTTAATTTTACGTTCAAAAATGGAGTAAAAGTACACGAATAATCCATAGAACATTGCTTAATCAATACTTTGGGTAAGTAAACATGATATGCCTTTCATTTTAATTTATTTTGTATTAAAAAGATTTAAACCCATATAGCTAGCCATGTCTTCTGAGAATTTGTCCTATCCTTAACGAGTTATAGTATATGATAATTTTGTTTATGCTGTTTGTAGCACAGTTTGGTATAGCTTGTGCTTGTCTTGCTTTTAATGAGGAACAGCAACACAAACTTGCATCTGAAGGATGGCGACAAGCATCTATGGAACTTCGTAAAGAAACTCAGGAGTATTTCAATTGCTGTGGATTTGAAAATGCAACATTACCTGATGATGATCCAATGAAACAAGGATCATGTGTTGCAGTATGTTTTTCACATTTGAATTTCTTATATGAGATATAACTTAGTTTCTCTAAACATAGTGCTAATTATGAACCTGCTTGTGTGAATTTAAAAAAAAAAAATTAAAAGCATTTAATTTAATGGATTAATTTATGGCAATTGAAACATTGATTTGTTAAACTGAATAAGAATTAATCTATTAAATTAAATCTTATTCAGTTTAACAAATCAATGTTTTAAATAAACAAATAAAAAATATATCTAGTTGTTTTATAGGTGAGGTATGAAAAGTAATGGGCTATTCTATATTTTAGGGTGCCCCTTGGATTATCGCCAAGTTGTAGTTTCATTTATCGCCAAATTGTTGTTTCACGTATGGTAACCTGAGTAGTTGAATGTTATAAGAAAAACTATTATGATGTGATTGCAGTAAATTTGACTGATGGGAAAATATTTTTAAGGGCTTATTTCTGCATTGGATGTCAGTTAGAAAGTACATTGCTTATTTTGTGCTGTACACCACAAAATGATGGTATGTGATGAGATTAATGTGAAGTTTCTGTATGATTTGGGATGAAAGGGGGAAAAAAAGCATTAATTGACTGGTGTGTAAACGAAGGTTTACTTAGTAGTCGTAAGTGTCCTGTTTGTACGAAGGAATTGCATATGGTCTAGCGTAAAGAGTGTTCAGGTGTCTTTGAATAGGTTTGTCGCAAGAAATGCCACCGACAGTCCGGCATTATGAAGGATATTATTTACTCTTATTTTTGTGAATTTATGTGGTGATGGCAGTTCTATTATTCAGTTCATCTATTATTCAGTTCAGATTCGGCAATATTATAGTTCAGATAATTTTAAAAAGGTTTTGGATGCTGTTAAGGAATTTTGTGTACCACAGACTGAAGACACAGAAATTTGATTTAAAATGCAGTTTATTGAGCTTCAATTGGCTATAAATTTTGTTCAGTTTTGGTGATGCGTAACTGTCATCAGTCTACCGATTTTTTTTTTTTTTTTTTTTTTTTTTTTTTTTTTTTTTTTTTTTTTTTTAAGTGAAAATGGATTGATGTGTACATGGACACAGAATTTCTGCAATTCTTTGACTTGTGAGTGGCCGGCCATCTTGAAACTGTGCCTTGCTGGCCAATTGCCAAAAATGGCCAATTTTCACCAAGGGGCACTCTGAAATATATTTTTATCAAATAATATTTTTTATTTACATTTGTTATGTGCAATAAAAATAATGCAATAACAGTAGCAGAAGATAAAAATGAAAATACATATTTTATAGCAGATGATGAATAATTACTCATCGATAATACGATCAGTGTTTATAGTTAAAATAATCAGTGTTTATAGTAGGTCTGTGCCCATCAATCAGAACAAAATAGTTTTACTTGATTGATTTTGTTTTTTCATATGTTTTGATAGCACACTTGGTTGTCATCATTAGTTTTTCTCTTTATAAAGTTTATAAAAAAAAATAAAAAGTATAGATATTTTTAGCACATTTCGATTATCTGAACGCCATCAAAAAGTCATGAACTCATCAACAACTTTGGAAAAATTTTGTAAACTCGATGGAAATTAATTTTTCGGCAAGTTACTGCACAAATGGGAACGGCCATTTTTAGAATGGTGGTATACTAAAAATTATATACAAGAGCAATCAATCAATCAATTAAAAATGCAGGAAACATCACTTATGAAACACTTAGCTTTTCTGACAAAACCTTCTTTTTTGTACTGCTGTTTTACCCCATGTACACAACAATAATTATGTTGCATAAAAGTAAGTACATATTTATCATTATAAGTAAAACATTAAGTGAAAGAAGAATACTGAATATTTTTTAATTATCTGCACTCCCACAAAAAAGGTCTTGAGAAAGTATTCCTGAGGCAAAGTAGTATGTTACCAAAATAGTTATATGGCAATTCATGATGTCACCAGAATGTATTTATGTGGCAACTCGAATATACCTGTAGCACATGCCAGTTTTTACTGTTGTAGATTTTTGTGATGCTGAGTTTGTGCAGTTTTTCTGATTTTTTTTAAGTGAAAACAGATTGTTGTGTACATGGGGTAAAACAGCAGTACAAAAAAGAAGGTTTTGTCAGAAAAGCTAAGTGTTTCATAAGTGATGTTTCCTGCATTTTTAATTGATTGATTGATTGCTCTTGTATATAATTTTTAGTATACCACCATTCTAAAAATGGCTGTTCCCATTTGTGCAGTAACTTGCCGAAAAATTAATTTCCATCGAGTTTACAAAATTTTTCCAAAGTTGTTGATGAGTTCATGACTTTTTGATGGCGTTCAGATAATCGAAATGTGCTAAAATATCTATACTTTTTATTTATTTTTTATAAACTTTATAAAGAGAAAAACTAATGATGACAACCAAGTGTGCTATCAAAACATATGAAAAACAAAATCAATCAAGTAAAACTATTTTGTTCTGATTGATGGGCACAGACCTACTATAAACACTGATTATTTTAACTATAAACACTGATCGTATTATCGATGAGTAATTATTCATCATCTGCTATAAAATATGTATTTTCATTTTTATCTTCTGCTACTGTTATTGCATTATTTTTATAGATCTTATTTATTATCTGAAGAACTGGAAGTTTCATTTTAATTATTAGGATTCTGCAAACAATAATCTCTTCCAAAGTATTTGAAATTCTGCATCTTTGATTGATTTCATGTCAGTCTTGCTTTTTCTTATTTCAGCGATCAAAGTTTGTATTATTGATGAATAATAAAGAAGTTCGACTAATATGTTAGATACATCTAAAATTACTGATTATTTGGTTCAAATACTGCTTGTAATAATTAAAAATTTAATATTTTTAATATTTCAAAGAAAATCTCCTTAAAGTATGTATTGTTTTCAGTTCGCAGATTTCATGTCTTGGCAAAGCAAAATGTATTATCGCTAGAGAAAAATATTTATCGCAAGCCTCATGCACAAGAAATCCAGTGAAATAAATACATAATTGCATCTTGAATAATTAAATCTTTTAATTAATTAAATAAGTCAAAATCCATATTGAATATCTATTGTATGGTATTGTTCTGTTATTGGGGCTGGATTCAGAAATGTGTGTATATATGTGTTCATGTATCTGGTTGTAACAAAGGTTTTCCATGAAAAAACATTCTTAATAAAGTTAGGAAAAAAACATGAAAGTGCTGATAGTAATCACCACCCAAATCTATGATTTTCTGCTAATGTTTTGCTAGTTTTTCAAAACCTTCGGCTGAGAATCTTGGTGGCTGTGAGTCCAAAAATAGATCAACCTCATTTTGTATGTCCTGTGCAGAATGAAAGACACTCCAGCAAGATTAGCTGCAGTTGTGAAAAAAAGGTAGAAGTCCAAAGGAGCGATGTCACGGCTATATGGTGGGTTTGGCAAAAAATTCCATACAGTGTCCTGCCAGTGAATGCAGATATATGTGGTCTTGCATTATCTTGATGGAACATTACCTTTTTTGCACAGGAAATCAGTTCGATGTTTTCTCTTGATAGCAGCATCAGCACACACCAGCATCTCGCTGTACACCTTACTGTCAAGGGTTTTATCACAGCAGTCCCACCAGATACAAAGCATGATCTTTTTGTTAGTCAAATTGTGCTTTGTGATGCTGCCGACGGGCTCAGACCAACCCCCTTTTTGGCTTGTATTGTTGAACTTAACCACTTAACAGTCTCTTTTTTCTGACATATTGTGTCAAAAAATAAGCATATTTTTCAAAAACAATTTTATTTTAAAATCGATTATAGAAACTCAAATCAAGAGTCAAAACTATCAGAAGTGTTGAATTTATGAAGTTATGATAATTTTTATTTACAACGAAAAATTACATTTTTACTTAAAATTGGCTTTTTTCCGGTGAAATAAGCGATCTGGGAAACACTTTACAGAAATGGATATTAGAAGAGAGAATTTATTATTATACTTACATCTAATATCTTTTAAAATTCAGCTTTTGTATGAAAAATTTTAAAACACGGTGACAAGCATAGTCCAACATCGCAGTCAGGACAAAAATATCTACTTTCTTCTCTCACTCTTTTTCCGAAATCGTTTCTTTTAGAGCAGCACACAAAGCACTGCATCGTTGGTCTCAGTTTTTTGTCGCTGGGAGCAATCACTTCTAAAAAGTGCCTTTCAGTCAATCGTAAGGGATTGGGAAAAATTCCTGGTCGTCCTTTTTTTTTCATTTACAGTCCCGTGTCTTTCAATCAGGCAATCAATTATATCAAGTCTGAAATTCAAATACGAGTATTTTCCTCCATGCTTTTGGTATAAAACGAATGCATTCCACAGCGATATATCTAAAAGGTGGAAGAATATTTTTTGTAATATTTCTTTCCTCTCTTCTTTGTGACTGGATAATTGGTGAGATGCTGATCCATTCTATCAACTCCTCCCATGGTATTATTATATTCCATCACTACCTTTGGTTTCTTTCTGACTTCATCCTTGTAAGATGGAACTTCAATCATTATAGGGTTGTGTATTGTGGATAATAGAGATACAGCTTTCTTATCCATCCATTTCATTAGACAGACTTTCCCTCTTTGGTACGCACAGATTTCTCCTAATTTAAATTTTTTTCTTCTATAATTCTTTGGGACGTCCTTTCTGGTAAGTTTGAGGGTTCCATATATATCTGTTTGATGGTTGATAAGGATATCTGCAAGTTCTGGTGATGTGTAATAATTGTCTGTCGTTAGGCAGTATCCTTTTTTCAATAGTGGCTGCATAAGTGTCATCACTACTTGAGAGGACTTGCACAAATGCTGGTAATTATCATCAAAAAAGTGTATCTTTCCCAGTGTATGTAATAAGTTGATACACATAACCTGACTTCGATTCACATAAAATAAAACTTTTTATGCCGAATCGTGATCTCTTTAGAGGTATATACTGTTTCCAGTGTAATCTTCCCTTGTACAGCATCAAACTCTCATTGATTGTAACATCTCTTTCAGGTGTGA